AGGCGGCGGAATTAGGGCTTTGCGGCGGCGGCCTCATTTTCTCCCTCTCTCTCTGTCTCACACCGTGTGCGTGTTACTCACTTTCTCTCTCCTGATTTTTGTTTCTTTTGCTTCTCTCTCACCAACTGTGTGTGTATGTGAAGCGGCGATGCGTGGGTGTGTGAGGGTTTTTAGTGGGGATTTTATAGTCGGGATTTTGGTGGTATTGAAAATGAATTTGATAGTTTAATTTGTTGGATAAAGTGAGTTAATTTTTAGAAAAAAAAAAAATTGATTGAGTTTGATTTGAGTGAGATTTGAACTTGTATTAAAATACTATTTAAAATATAATGATTATGGTTGATTTGATGTAAAAATTTGAGATAAATGATTGAAAGAGTAGTTAAAATTATGTAAGCAAATTAATAGTGAATTAAAATTGATATAATATATGACAAGAATTGATTGATATTAATATTGTAGAGAGTTTGTTTAACTTAGATTTGGGGTTAAAAAAATTATATGATCAGTCATAACTGGATATTTCCAATCAGGCCCTAGTTAAATTAAACGAACCATGTGTGAGTTTTGTTCGGTTCGACTTGTATGCAATTTTAGCCGCTCGACAAAAGCTCAAGTCCTAGCTAATCAAGTGTCACGAAATCCCGTTACTTGCGTCATATTTAGAATTGTTCAACGAAACAAACACTACAAAACAATTTGTTAAATTCCAATTAAAATTTTATGGTAATATATTCTAATAGAAATTATAACAAATATTCCAATGATATAGCTTCTGTTGGAATGATTCCAACGAAAATATTTCATTGGAATGAGTTTTTTATTGGAATTTAGATGAAATTTGACAATTCCAACAGCTATTTTCCCAATCGTTTTTACCGTAGGAATTTCCGTTAGGATATGTAATTTCTGTTGAAATTTTTATTTTCACCCTCATGAAAATCTACTGTTGGAATCGTCAAAATTCAATAGAAATTCCAACGGAATATCTTTGTTAAAATTTCCGTAAAAAATTCAAACGAAAATAATAACATTGGAATTGTTGTTAGAATTCCATTAAAATATATTTCCGTTGGATTTTCCATTGAAATTTCATATTTTTTTTTCTTGTAGTGACATTTTTAGCTCGACTCATTTACACTTCCAGCCAATTAGTCAAAAAGTTAAGTTCGAGCTCTAGTATTACCAAATCACATTACTTGAGTCACAGTTAGAGCTGCTAAATGAAACTAATAGTTCATGAACTCGACTCGACTAGTCCATACAAGTTTGAGTCCATATGCTCATTTACACCTCTAGCCAAAGTTAGTAAACGGGACTTAATGAAATTTTTAAAAACGTACAATTGATTATGTTGGTAATTATTATATAATACGGATCGGAGGCCTAAATTAAGTGCATTTGTACATGATCTGGTAGAAATAAATTCTATCCGTATAAATATTAATATTGTGAAGTTATAAAGTTATCACTAATCTAAGTGAGATTTCACTGTTACTCTTTTTAACTTTGTTGAAATTTTATTTAGCAGAACTTGCACGGCTCTCGTTGCTAATAGAAAGTGAGCTGGTTTTTAATTACTTTATTAGGAAGTCCTAATATGACAGAAAATGTTGATTAATTAATTTGAGTGGTGTCAAATTGGAGATTAATTAGAAATTTGGAGGGCCACGTTATGATTAATTTCCAAATTTTCTCCTTCGGACGTCCTAAAAAAACTAAATGTCATTTAATTTCGAATTTGATTGCCTATAGTTGCTATAATATTATGGCAACAATTAACTATTACAGGAAAAGAAAATTTTCAAAAGGAAAACATAGGTTTAATTAAAATGCAAAAGTTTATAAAAATGATTAAGCATTTTATATTTTACTGGGACAAGTCACGTAACGTTTTTGGTATAAG